TGAGTTAACAAGAGTTTGGCAATAAGTAACAGTGTGGATTTTTCTATATTTTCTTTTTTTTATTCCACTCTCAACCCAAAAAGGCAAGTAATGACTCACAGGGCTCTTAAGTATGCAAAATAAAAACTTAAATGACCTGTTGTGGTGTGTTTTGCGCACAACCAGCATGCATCGTTAACGCAATGGAAAATTTAGGTATCCAAGCTTTAATTTCGGGAGCGCTGGTTGCGCTTTGGGAAGAGTCAGGGGAGAGACATGTCAGAGACACAGGGGAGAAACGCGTGAGATACGAGGGAGACCCGCACTTGCAACATGGTTCTGTCTGTATATGGTCCGAGCTCGGTACCATGTTAGAGCTGTGCTTTCACTGAGCGCCGCGGCTGTCATTACAAAGCGGCAGCAGTTGCACCAGGACGTGCTGTCACACATTTTACAGAAATTACATTATCAGCAGATAAAGGTTGTAAATCGTGGATCCGTGGAATATTTTCATCCCTAGTTTATCCTGATTCACACAACACACCCACTTATACATTTTGGATAGTAAGAGCACAATAAGTATTTTTTCAGCCTTTCAACCAACCTGTTTCTTTATTGGAGCCAGTTCTGTTCTGTCTCTGTGCCGTGTGAGCTCCTCGGAACATTAAACAGTGCGCTGACAGATTAGAAATAACGTAAGTACTTTGAATGGTAATAGATCTACAGTACTTTCCTCTGATTACTCACGTGCTACAACGCTCAGGGAACGAAAAAAAACACTTGCTTCACGCTGGCTAACTTAAAAAAATTAAACAGTTGCTCAGTGCTTCAGTTTGGCGCTGAAGAAGACAGCCAATCACTGCAGAGAACGGAACGGGTCACGTGCTGCTGCTGCTGCTGTTGCTCTGGAGGCGAGGAGGAGGCGCGACGTGTGCACAAACGGAAGACATGTGTCCCGGACCGTCCGGGTCACGGGACATCACGTCATTTTGGTGGGGACTTTTTAGTCCTCACCAAATATTGGTGGGGACATGTCCCCATGGTCCCCACGCAAACCTACGCCCTTGGCGGTGAGTGACCCAAGTATATAGACTTAACCTAAATCCATAATCAGATCCTTGGCAAATGTGTCCTAAAATGTTCTACTAATGTTAATAGTTACTTCCGGTTTTATTACGTCAAAAAGGATCGCTTTTTGACGCAGTAAAACAGTATTTTTCTCATGAAAACATTACCAAAAAATTCTGAAAATCTCTGTTCACGTGTGTGAAGAATGTATATGTATAATGTATTCTCCGAAGGTTATTACGAGACAGGGGAGCGACTCTCGACGGAGAGAAGAACCCTTTAGTTGGGAGGATCAACCAAGAGGGATTCAACCCTAACCTATAAGGTCTGTTCTGACCATTTCATAACAGGTAAGAGCAAAAGTTTGTGCATGTGTGGTTTATATTCAGAGCTGCGATTTGACTGTGATACCATGTACGTATATATGGGCCTCAAGCGATCCCCTCTAAATGAATGAGAGGAGGAGGAGGGGAAAGGGTGGTAGACAGAAGTGATTTACGGCCTGTGATATCGACTGCTTCGTTCAAAATAAATTATTGATTGAAAGAAATATTGCATCATATACATCATGATCTTTTTTAATTGTAAAATTGTTAAGTGAAAGTAAGCCATTTCTGGCAAAGTCCAGCCATAGATCCATGGTCTTGCCACATTTCGTACGGATCCAAATCTCTGATCACTCTAAATTTTTCCAAATATCTCGCCTCACAGATTACTCCAGTGTGTCAATATACTTAACACAGCGTCGGCCAAATTCGTGGCTTTAGATGACATGGGGACAAATGATCAGTGACAATGTATCCGGGACTAATGATACGTGCAATAGAAGCCAGAAGCTTCGTTAGCTTCTCTCACACAGACAGAAGTAAACACGATCGCTTTTTGACGCAGTAAAGCAGTATTTTTGTCATGAAAACATTACCAAAAAATTCTGAAAATGTCTGTGCTTGTGTGTGAAGAATGTATATGTATAATGTATTCTCTGATTAACATTTAGATGTGTTGAGTGATTGATATTTATGTTATTGACCATGGCTAGCTTCATTAGCTTCTCACACAGACAGAAGTAATAAGTGACAGGCACTGAAAGCCCGTTGTGACGAAGTGTGCAAACTACTGTCCAGATCAATTTTACACACCTGAAGTACAAGCACAGAGCGCGTTGCCAAAGGGCAGCAGTCATTATGGGTTTGAGAGTCTGTTATCAAGAAATAATGACCGGTCGAACATTTTGAAATGACATTCGAATCAATGGAGCGTTCTACTGCTGCTGTAAGGAGCTGTACATTACATTACATTCAAATCCTTGAGACACAGACAAGGCCTCTTGCTATTGGCCCAAATATACTCCCACAGCAGTGGTCGGGAAACTTTATAGCTTGGACAACCAAAAAGGTCTCCTACTTCAAAAAATATTTCTGTTTGAACCATTTTTTTTTTTTTTACTGTGAATATGTGGGATTTTTTTTAAAACAAGATCAACACATTTAGAGGGAAACATTTGTTTCAGAATGTATTGTTTTGTTGATAATGTTTTTTTACAAAAGGAAATCCAGAGCAAAAACAATTGATTTGTCTGAGAGCCAGACACATTTATCAAAAGAGCCACATCTGGCCCCGAGCCATAGGTTCCTGACTCCTGTCCTAAATCTTGGTTAAGAGGAGGAACTTCATTTAACATACTGTTTTTAAAATATACTTATTTTATATGACCAATATATGACCAATACAGGGTCATATGGTTAGAAATATGCATTCTTTAAAAAAAGTTGCAGACATCACATAAAATGAATGTGAATGTCTGCCCAGATGCTATAGGATCAATTATTTGGATGATTATCTCTGCAGTGGGATTTCCACACCAGAAAAAAACAACTAAACAATTGATCCTGGAGCCCTATAAACACAACCGTCATCAAAAGTAAACTGGTCAAATATATTAAAATGTGGATAATTTCCTTTTAATAACAATAGAGACAAGTTTAGTCACAAACAATACTGCTGCACGCCACCGGTGAGGAGCAGCTCTGATAACGAGTCCTGTGTAACTGCTATAACTCCATCTACCTTTCTATTTATCCAACTATCTATCTATCTATAATTGGTTATTATCCTAATGTGTGCTTTAGACACCCGAGTCATCCATGTATGTGTCATAATCCACAACCGCAAAGACTTTGTGTGAGCTCGGCCTCTGGTTCATGAGAAATGACACCAACTGACAGGAAATGCAAATGCAACAAGTGGCACCATTAGTTATACACATGTCATAATCTCAAACGTAACATTTATTCAGAATTATACACACTTAAAGCTGGGGTACAACTATTCCTTGTGTTTGTAGAAAGACTCTTGCAAAAGGATGGACAAATCAGGCCACAACATGCTAAATAGAAAACAGTTTGTATATGTTTACATATGAAAGAGCCCTGTGAGTCACTACTCAACCCTTTGGGCTGTTTGGCAGAGTGAAGGTAGTCCTCTGTGACTTTTCTGTCTGAAAAAGCTGATCTAGAGATGTGAGGCCAAAAATACATGCATATGAAAACTAGTGATAGAACCGAATTGTTTTGAGAGTGAGTGGAAATAGATGGATTTGATTAAATAGTATTTTTAATCAAGTTAAAGTAGGTTGGGGGTACCTAACTTTCAAAGCACAAGTTAAATTTTTTTTTTATATATATAGTTGATTATTGCTTTATTATTGCAGAGACTGCTTTGATATATTTTTTTTTTCCAGAGGTAGTTCATTTGGCCAAGGCTGCCCTTTGTCACCGGTTCTGTTCACTGTATTTATGGACAGAATCTCTAGGCGCAGCCAGGGGCCGGAGGGGGTCCGGTTCGGGAACCACAGGATTTCATCTCTACTTTTTGCGGATGATGTCGTCCTGCTGGCTCCAACGAACCAGGACCTGCAACATGCACTGGGACGGTTTGCAGCCGAGTGTGAAGCAGCTGGGATGAGAATCAGCACCTCCAAATCCGAGGCCATGGTGCTCGACCGGAAAAAGGTGCCTTGCCTTCTGCAGGTGGGTGGAGAGGCCCTTCCTCAAGAGAGGAGTTCAAGTATCTCGGGGTCTTGTTCACGAATGAGGGAAGAATGGAGCGTGAGATTGACAGGCGGATCGGTGCAGCGTGCGCAGTGATGCGGTCGCTGTATCGGACCGTTGTGGTAAAGAGGGAGCTGAGCCGAAAGTCAAAGCTCTCAATTTACCGGTCAATCTTTGTTCCCTCCCTCACCTATGGTCATGAGCTTTGGGTAATGACCGAAAGAACGAGATCGCGGATACAAGCGGTCGAAATGAGCTTCCTCCGCAGAGTGGCTGGGCGCTCCCTTAGAGATAGGGTGAGGAGCTCGGTCACACGGGAGGAGCTCGGAGTAGAGCCGCTGCTTCTCCACGTTGAGAGGAACCAGTTGAGGTGGCTCGGGCATCTGTTCAGGATGCCTCCTGGACGCCTCCCTGGGGAGGTGTTCCGGGCACGTCCCACCGGGAGGAGGCCCCGGGGAAGACCCAGGACACGCTGGAGAGACTATGGCCCCGTCTACACGTAGCAGGGTATCTCACAAACCGAAGATATTTTCCTACGATCTGGCCTATCATCCACACAAACCCGGAGTTTTCTGTCGATAAAAACGAAGGTTTCTGAAAACTCCGGCCAAAGTGAAGATTTGGGAATTCTCCGGTTATGCGTTTGAGTGTGGACATAAATAACCGGAGTATTCGGCTGTACGTCACTACCAGCGTGCTGCTCTGACGTCACACGCGCGACCTGTGTTTACATCAGAAACAACATGGAGGCCATCAAAACCGCTTTTGTTTTAACGATTGTTCAGGCACTTTTTGCTTGCTTGTTTTTACAAGCTCAAATACTGCTTCATGTTGAAGAGCACAGACGAAGGAGCACTTTAAGGTCGGCTATTTTCCGCCAAATAACCATCCCTCGTCCAAGACATGTTCCTCGTCAAAGACGGCAACGGCAATTTTGGGTCAGACCGGGACGCACTGCCAGCTGGTGGGAGAACTTTGAGATGGAAGTCGTCCTCCCGGAGGAAGGTAGGTTTGTAGGTTTGAAATGTAATTGACAACGCATGTATGCGGTTAGGTGTGGATGCCGTTTTTTAAAAAACCGAGGCTGTGTGGACAGAAGTTTTTTTTTAGGCGGAGGGCGGATTTATAAATGCCCTGCTACGTGTAGACAGGGCCTATGTCTCTTAGCTGGCCTGGGAACGCCTTGGGAGCTGGAGGAAGTGTGTGTGGATATGGAAGTCTGGGCGTCTCTGCTTAGACTGCTGCCCCCGCGACCCGGCAACGGATAAAGCGGAAGAAAATGGATGGATGGATAGTTCATTTGGAACATATTTTATGGCAATTAAATGTACTCAAACAAAAACAAAAAAATTGCTGTTCAAGTCCCTTCGGATTTTTGTCACTTGTGCCTGAGAATTTGACCAACTCTTTTTTTTTTTTAACGCATGATACAACGGGCCTCATTTATGAAACTTGCGTAGGGCCAAATCAGGGTGTAAATGAAGCGTACGCAAAAAAGTTACACTTTTCTGCATTTATCAATCTGGACGTTGGCTTACGATACGCACAGAATATACACCAAGTCAGGAGGTGTTGTAAATGTGTACGCTCATTTTAACCTGCATTACAACACGGCAAAACACGCATGAAATGCAAGATTTGGACAACAATAAACATATTCCCACTCTGGCAAAATTATAAGCTGCGTTTTCTTTGAGCGTCATGTTTCTAAATTTGAATTTGCGAATCGGAAAAACTCGAACACTCTGGAAATAAATTACTGTTCTTGATTCGTTCATGATGAGGACCCTCTTCTATTCCTACGTTTTTTAAATCTGACTTATGTGTGTATTATTTTCATCTGTATGTTTTCTTTTTTTTAATGTGAAGCGCTTTGTGATCCTGCTCTGTGAAGGCGCTATACACTGTATACACCTTACTTGATATGTGTGTAAATCTGTGGCAGACCCTGCGTAATTAAGCATGGCTATTTGTTTTGTCACAGCAACATATTTCCTTCTTAGTTATGGTAAACTCTTTAACAGCGATGGCAGAGATTTGGCAAAGCGCTTTTTTTAACGGGCTCACAGCAGAGCGCACTGCATGTGCAGCAGGTGCCATAGGTCACACGACACTCGCGGTTTCTCTGTAATATCACGGACTGACATTGGGGCTGAAATTTTCCCACTGTGGGATGAATAAAGGATCTCTTAATCTTAATCTGACTCATACGCATCCTTTCTCTCTCACAGAGAGCGACATCTTCTTGCATTCACATGTCGCTGACGCTTGACCCTGACGAGTCACTGCTGAGATATTAATAGTCATTCTTGCATTCATTCATTCATTCATTCATTCATTCATTCATTCATTCATTCCCAAAGAGATGCGCTGCAGTGGGTCTAGACACTAGGAAAAAAACGCTTATATATAATATAGGGGGGTTATCTTCTTCTTTTTTTTGGACAAAATAATACAATAAAACTCAATATAAACTCAGTGTGTGTCTCTAACAGGCCTTCTGAGGTTTCCAACTACACTTGCTGGCCGACTTCCATCCTCAGCTGTCGCAAAAACGGGGCGTTTTCTGAATATTTTTAGGCGTGACATCCATAAATACGCTAGTTTTCACCGCGGCATTTATCAACAGCTGCGTATGCGTACGGTCGGATATGTGCGTATCTCACACGTTCATAAATCCCACGTTGAGTCTTTCGTAAATGGAATATACACCAAAAATATACACCCTTTTCTGTGCGACTTTCATACATATTTAAAAAACAATGACATAAATCAGCAGTAATTCATTCATTCGTATTTATTCTAAATTCTCACAATTTTTTGGATTATATATTTACTAATCTTAATTATCAATGAAAGCTGGGGTTCCTTGCTTGGTATTTTGACATAAGGAATATAGAGCGAAATGGACTGATATGCCACAGATTTTTTTTTTCTAATCTATCTTTTCTTATCTAATTATCTGTTTAGAATACATTTTGAATATCTGAAATGACATGGTTGTTTTCTGAACAAATTTTGCTTTAACATTTTTGCCATATCAACATATTACCATCTATGGTGTTTCTATTATACTTAATCTGTGCTTGTGGTGTGTATCTCTGCATGTCTTGTACCAATTTTTTTGTAACTTGGCAGAGATTTTAAAGATTATTTGATCAGTTTTAAAGTCCTAAAGATTTTGTTTGTGCATGTGATTTGTGACAATTTCCCTAGACTTTAACAATAAAACTTAAATGTGACATTAATGAACAAACGTAAACCAGATATCTCCAATAAGGAAATGCCCAGACGGTTCCCAGACCACATACTGTATTCACTTGTGATTGTTGCACTTGTTTTAGTTCAGTTGTTGCGTTTTACTTTAATTGAGTTTCTGATACACACATTGTAAGAAGTCGCTGGGTTTGGGTTTGTGAGTTTTATGCCTAGGGTTGGTGTTGAGGAGGAGCCTACAATCCTGGATAAGCCCTAACATGCAGGATACAGTATATGAGTTTTTTCCCAGTTAAGGGCCGCTATGCAGACACATCGACCACACAGCGCATCCCGGTCAGTGAAGAAGAACCGAACACCAGCGACGGTGTTCAACGTGGGGGCGCCCCAACGGTAGCCGCAGCCGCCCTATTGTGCAAAACAGGGAGTTCCATTCAGGTGGCTGCTGCAGGCCGGGGCAGTGCAGAGGTGTTGACATATGGATAACTGACTGACAAGGATGCTCTGACATCTGCAGCCACGCATGACTATAATTGTGTGCTCAGATGCAGTGAAAAAGAACGATGTGTGTGTGTGCGTGTGTGTGTATATGTGTGTATGTACTAATGAGTCACACGGCAAAGATCCTGATCCACAAGCTAAAACAAACAGCACATGACCCCAGATCACTCCACGGAGAGATCATTACATGGAGGAGGCGTGTGTAACAATAATGGGGCGGCAGGAAAGGTGTCGGTAATGTTGCCATTTGGATTAATACAGGGTTTAATGGCACAGCTGTAGCCACCACATAGTGCTGCTGCTTCTGTGGAAAGGGAAAGTTCTTGTATGAATAATATTGTTAAAAGTGTACGTGCACTTCCTTTATCCCTGTAGGGAAAGCCATCCTTTGCATTTGACCCATCCTGATGCCACTAGGGTGTCTGTCAGGAGCGCCCGGGGACCCATCTCCAGAAGTTGATGATCAGCTTGGTCAGGACTTCCAGAGCTGGAGGATTTACCTAAAATGTACATGTTTTTAGTGGGTTGGGAAACCGGAGAACCCGGAGGAAACCTAATAGAAATGTGAAAGAAATATACAGACTTATAAAACGCAAAGTGGTCAAGCCTTTTTTTGTTGGAAATTTGATAATTCTGGTCCCATCAGTGCAAGGATTTTTTTGTATACTTGCGCTGATGGTATAATTGCATATTCTTGTACAGATGAGCCGATTGTCCTGATGTTCAGAGTTACTTTTATGTTTGTGTCCAACAGCACTGTGAGTCCTGAGAGGACAATAAAGTTTAACCCACAATTCATTTTCATAAAAAAATTTTATTTTATACTGGCTCACAGTTTTTACAAGCTGTGGGACAATTATAAAAATAATTCATTCTAGGCAATGGGGGTGAAGTGTCTTGCCTAAGGACACAACAGCAGTTTGGCACTTTACAGCTGCAGTCGCCCCACTGTGGCATCAGGTGTTCCCAGAGGTTAAGTGTCTTGCCCAAGGACACATCGACAGCAGAAAGAGGGAGTCGATGGTGAAAGTCTTGAGGTGGGCTCGAACCACGACCTTCTGGCTCAAAGGCCAATGCTCTACCAACTGAGCTACTGTCGCCCTCAACATAGTAACTTTACACTATAATGTGCAGTGAGCTAACATTTTTACCTTGTATTTTTTGTGTAATGACTGCAAAAATAGAGAAAAAAATCTGCACAGCTTTGTTGCTCCCATCCATCCATCCATTTTCTTCCCCTTAATCCATTTCTGGGTCAGGGGGGTGGCCAGAGATGCCACTCAGTACACAGAGCACCAGCCCCTCACTGATCCTCCTGCAGGTGGTGAGTCCACAGGAGCTTTGTTGCTCCCAAGTGTCTTTAATTTACAGACCACCATAGACCACAATAAAAGACACTTGGGAGCAACAAAGCTGTGCAGATATTTTTCCCAAAAAAAAAATTCAGATTTTGCACCTTTTTTTAATCTAGCACACTAGGTGAGGCTACTGGGATATGCGGCCTTTTGTGAAACCTTCTTGAGTAATGACTGTCAACAATGTGCATGTTGCAGTTGCACTTTGATCTTGCATTTAAATCTTATACTTTTTTAAAGTCCTGTGTGTAATTGTGTGTATTATAATTTAATAAAATAAAGTGCTAATGTGAGACAAAATACAGTCACCAGCATTACACATATGTTTTTGCTCAAGATTTGACCAACTGTGTAATAAACTATTTAGAAGAGTAAATATATATTGTTAGAAAAACATCTAAATTATGTTTTCTTGTAAACTTCTGCTGTATAAATTACTTTTCAAACTGAGGTCTTTCCACCAAAGAAAGTCAACATCTCTTATTTTGTTATAAATAAACACAGACACAGGAACCAGGGCAGAAACCAAAAGCAAAATATGAAATATAGAAAACTGTACAAAGAGGGGAGGGATTGTTAGAATGACTTTGTTGACAGAACTCTCGCTGTGGACTATTCCAAATACACGATGTCCACAAAAGTCCACAAAAACTGCCACACCCTTTTTATTCTGCGGATCCGCTTGTAGTTCTTCAACACACACCTGATCTATAGATGATGCCGTGTGAAGAAGGGAAATCCTTTCTCTTCATTAAGAATGCAGTTGTGGGTGTTTTACATTCTTTGTTTACAGTAGAAGTATGTTTTGTGTTTTCTGCGACCACAGGAAGGTCAACAGCACTGGGGCCTCTGCTGCTACATATGTATGTTATGTTATCTTTATCCTGTATTGTTGTTTATTTCACTTTCCCGGACGGAGTCAGGCTGATCATTCATGGCGTTGTGAGGTGTGAGGTGTTTGAAGAGGTCCTTGTGTTATAGTGAATGGCCTCCTGTGTCCTCGGGCCTGGATTTAACGGCAGCCTCCTGAGCAGTGCAGCGCTTCAGTTATGTAAACTGGCCCAGCTTTGGAGCAAGTCAACCGTCAGGATTTTGCATGGTCCCAATCCCTGCAGCTGCGGATGCAAAGAGGCTGCGCGCACACACACATCGATATACATACATGCACACACACATGCAAACAAACACATGTACAACACACATACATACAAATGCATACAAATACGCACACACACAAACATGCATACAAACACATACACAGCACACACATACACACGCACATAGACAACAACACATGCACAAACACACTAACACGCTTGCACGCACACACATACACACGCACATAGACAGCAACACATGCACAGACACACTAACACGCTTGCACGCACACACATACACACGCACATAGACAGCAACACGTGCACAAACACACTAACACGCACACACATACACACGCACATAGACAGCAACACATGCACAGACACACTAACACGCTTGCACGCACACACATACACACGCACATAGACAGCAACACGTGCACAAACACACTAACACGCACACACATACACACGCACATAGACAGCAACACGTGCACAAACACACTAACACGCACACACATACACACGCACATAGACAGCAACACGTGCACAGACACACTAACACGCTTGCACGCACACACATACACACGCACATAGACAGCAACACGTGCACAAACACACTAACAGGCTTGCACGCACACACATACAAACGCACATAGACAGCAACACGTGCACAAACACGCTTGCATGCACAGAAAAAAGTATAGTTGTCTATAGTTTTGGGGAAGTATACACATTATGAATACATCATTTATTATTCTTATATATTAGGGCTGAAATTATTTTGAATGATTTGATTACAAAAAAGCACTTAAAATAACTGAAAGCCACATTTATTAGCAAATTAGCACATATATTAGCATGCAGTTGCTATTTTGTGCATAAATACTGTGAATCACACAGGTTTCTAAAGCATGAAGTGAAAATGCATGTTTAGCTGTATAATATACATTTGGGTAGTAGCCCTGGCTCAGTAGGGGAGTGCGGAGAGGGCGGCTTTAGCTTGGTTTTATGCCTGTATGAATGTGGTGTGTGGTTGTGGTTGTCAGTAGCCAATGGCACAGAGAGGCAGCCTCGGGGCAGCTGTGACCAAACTATTCTGATTGGATGTGAATGAATGACACAGATCAGATACAAAATAATAACAAATATGTTCTCCTTTTCCTCTGCACTCCTGCACAGTGAACATACATGTGCTCTGAGAGGGTGAGGGTTAGTTGCTGTCGTCACCTGGAGCCAGCAGCACTTGGCTGAAGACGAGTGTTGGGATTCAAATGTTTCATTTGTTTGTCTTTGTTTGGACAGAGCCGTTTCTCGTGGCTGTGACAGAGGACTTGGCTGAAGCACACTTCATTTGCCTCGCCTCTGCAGCTCAGCTCTTTGTGTTTATACGGTGACGATGGGCAGGTGGACCCCTCAGAGCTGTTCATGTGTGACTCAGAGCCCTCCAGACCTACACACTGGATTGCTCTCCAAGATGCACTCATATGCCCAAATATTCACTTACATTTGTTCTACTCAACTAGTAATACAAAGTAAACTGTTCAATCTGAATCATCTCATTCTAATACATGTTTTATCTACAATCATAGATAAAGATGCAAAGATTCAAGGAAAGATGCACACCTTTATCATTGAGAACAATCACATGGCACACCACCAGCTGGAATTGATACAAACATGATTCTATGCAACTTTTATGAACTCTACAAAGTCATCAAAGTAAGTTATGTAGAAAAGAACGATCTCTCTAATCTTTCTAATATTTTTCCTTTTCTTTGTGCAAGTGCAAACAAGGCACACCAAACAACATCTCAAGGCACACTAACATAACACGGCACACTAGTTGAAGAACACTATATTATGTCACTCCATACACTGTGGTGATTCACTATACTGTAGCCACAGTTGTCCTGGGGCACGCTGACAGAATCGAGGCGACTAGTATGTGTCATCGACCCCTTCCACCACCTCCAACCATTCACACACACACCAGACGCATTATCATACTGCTGAAGGGTTTGAAGGTTCTTCTAACAAGACGAGTGTGTAAAGAAGCGCCTCCTCAAATCATCTGGATGATCAGTTTTTATTTCTGGTCCAGTCCCGACTAACTTGAGGTAACTGCCTCTACAGTCGTGTCGTGGTGCTGCACTTGTGGCTCTAGTTTACTTGCAGCTCTTTTAACTTTGTCTTCATTAATAAATTTGCCCTTTTTAACCTAACAGGAGCAATATCTTTCTGGAAACGTTACGAAAAAGTAACGTTTCCAGAAAGATATTGCTCCTGTTAGGTTAAAATGGTTACAAATAAGCAAAAAGCCCCATGGACAAAAGCAAATTCGGCCAGGACACAGAAGTGAGAGTACCGGAGTGCCGAGCCGAAGAGGCAAAAGTCCAACCACCAGAGTGATGAAATCTTCAAAGATGAGTTGTGTGAATTTAACTGGGTGCTGCGAGGAACAAGAGAAATATTTTTTCCTGAAACTATTGAAAGTTGCAGCAACAATCTTTGTGTTGTTTCCAACAGTTAG